TAGTGTGAATGAAGAGCAATGTGTCTTTCTCATGAAGTTTGTGCCCTTTGAGCCATTAATTTAATTTATAAAAATTAGTCCTAAGGATATAATAAGAAATGAGAAGTATTGAAATTTTCCATTCATAACAGCAAGGTATATAATATTGAATGATTCAGCAATAAACATGATTAGGAAAATTCTGGTAGTGTACCCTATAATGAATTAATTAATGGAACGTGAAAGTAATAGCTAGTGTTAAAGAAAAAGAGCACCTTTTTCTATGTAATAATGTTTCAACAACATGAAGTGTATACAGGTTGCCTAATGATTAAAAACATTGATGGTACTAATCTTTATAAATGAAAGTGGTGATCTGGCCAAATAGCTCAGTGGATTAAAGTGTCTGCAAGTAGGTGCAGGGCCTGGGTTGGATCCCCAGGCCTGCTGTGCCGGCCCCATCCCCCATCCCCGGGGTGCCCTGAGATGGTGATAGAGACTTAGTGTGGTGTTGTGCGCCTGTAATCCCAGCTGTTGGGAGGCTGTAAACAGGAGGATCACTACAAGTCCACTCTACGCAGTGAGACCCTGTAGATCTTATATTAAATACATTTTTAAAAAGAAAACAATAAAAGGTGTGTAAAGCAGTAGGATTAAGGTTAACATTTATCAGTTTATATCTTTATAAAAATATTTACATATTTATAAATACTAGGTTTGTTTTCACTATTAATAAAATTATATCATTTTTCTTCTAGGGAACTAATAGAGGAATTACACCCCATAATTAAAGAAGCACTCGAAAGAAGGCCGGAGGTAAGGTGTTTCCTATTGTTTTCTATATCAAACATGTATTTGGCAAACACTTAGCTTTTCTGCTATAGCCTGCATATCAAAACTTAGAAGTTAAGAAATAAAAGATTGTCTGTTACATTTTATTCCTTTTCTGAAGTAGATTTTTCCTCCCACAGGAGAACATAACAAAAACTCACTATGTACAGCAGATGAAAAATTTCTATAGCTTACATGAGAATAGGTAGTGTGGTATATATTAAAATTGGTGAACTCTTTGTGTAAAACCAGATAGTAAATGTTTCTGTACTATCTTCTGTTACAATCTTTCAACTGTCTTTGTAGTGTGAAAGTATTCATATAGAACAAAACAGTTCAATGTGGCTATTTTCCAATAAAATTTTATTTATCATAGCAGGCTGATCTGGGCCTGCTTAGGCCTATGAGTTATGGTTGATAATCTTGGACACAGACTCTCAGATCAATAGATTTGTACCTATAGTTGCAGGTTCTGTGCAACTTTCAGGAGCTACAGATTTAGTGAGGCAGGTGACTATGTAAACTAATTACCACATTCATCATGTACTCATGTGCCTTTTGAGCCATTCATTTAATTTATAAAAATAATCTTAAAGCCTAGATAAGGGATTAGGAGAACCATAGAGAAGAAAGCCTGAGATGGCAGCAGAGAAGAAGTGCTAATATTGAGGTGAATTTTGAAGCCTGTCCCCAGTGGACAAGCAAGAGAAAAGCAGTTCAAGCAGAATTGCAAATTTTACAAAAGAATTTTAAAATGATACATTTTCCCCCCGATTATACTGTGGAAGAAAGGGAATGCGTATCAGATTAGATAGCAAGATAGAAACCACTTCATGAAAGACTCCTTTTGTTTGACTATGTAGCCCACTGTTTACCACACTTGGCTGACACGTTTTAGCCTTCACCTTTATCGTCAGCGCCATAAAAGAGAAAGAAACAGGGAGAGAGGGCTCCTACTTTTAGCTGAGTTCAATACACTACTGGTTCCTTCATGTCATTGGTGTCTAAAAATTATACTGAGATTTTGATAAAAATTACAGCCTCCTAGACCTATTGAATAAAAACCCCTGGAGTAGTTCCCAGAAATGTTTTTGTCAAGTTCCATAGATCCATTTGATAGACTTTTTAGTATCACTTCTGTTAATGATGGGGGTCCCCGAGGCACATAAATAGGTGACAACAGCTTCTGTGTTAGAGCCTTAGAAACATCATCCATGATGCCCCACTTCCTAAATTCTATCCTGTAGGTTGTGAAAGTATCCCATTATTTCATTGATTTTGTTTTGGAATGACCATCTTGGTTATTCTGTGTGATGCCTTTTTGGATGGAAATGGAATCAAAGTAAAGGAGCAGCATTTGTCCTTCCTCGTTCAGGGGACATTTGATTGCACCCCATTGGATACGTTCAGCCATGGGGCTGGAGCGCAAGTTATACTTTGACTCTTAGATTCATTCTTCTTAGGGTGAAAAAATGAAAACAGGCCTGTTAAACTTTGCAGAAATTCTCCAAGGCTGTCAGGAAGCCATCTCTTGAAAATAAATTACTATAAACTGTAGAAAGGCTGCAAGGAAATAAACTTAAGTGATTTGGTCTTCAGCAAATTGGCTGTTTGTGGAAGGCAGGAAAAGTGGACTGTGGACATGGAAATGAAAGATTAATATATTTTTAATTTCTCTGTAGTTTGAAAAATATCTCACATAATGAGTAGAAAGTGATACAGGGGATTTATACCTTACTCCTGTATTAGTTCTTTTAAGATAAAGAATCAAACTCAAATGCTGTAACTATTATTCTAGCCATTAGGATCTCTTTACCCTAGTAATATAAACATGCTTATTCATTCTATAATCAAAGAAATTTTGGTTTGCTTTCTTTTTTTATTCACATTTGTTTTTTTCAGTACCAGCGATTGAGTCCAGGACTTGTACCCTTAGCTGTATCCCCAGCTCTTCTGCTTTTCAAGATAGGCTCTTGCCCAGTTGCCAAATTGCCAAAGCTTAGCTTAGAATTATTATCCTTGTGCCTCAGCCTCCCAGGATGTTTTTTTGTGTGTGTGTGTGTGTGCGCACCACATGCGTACGCACCAAAATGAATGAAATGGAAAGCTTTTGTGTGAGCAAACGCTCTGGAGACTTTTAAACCCCCTTAGGATTGTTTGCTTTATCCTGTCATACAGTTGGGGGAGTCTCTTAGGGATTCTGTATGACTCAGTAACAGCAGTTTGCTAATTGCTTGAATTCTTCTGAAGCTGTCAAATTATCAACTCAGTTAAAAGTAACTAGAATTTTATCCCCCCCGACCCTCCATAAGAGGTGTCACATGTGATTGTACTTAACTGTTAATTTCACACTCTCCAAACACACCTCTCTGTGGTAGTTGCCGACCGTGTGTTCACAATCAGCACTGCACAAGCAAAATGATTTCGATGGACCAAGTTACACCATGTTTTCTGTGCACTTCCCTAAAGGCTTTAATGAATATCTTTGTGTCTTTGGGATAGAATATGAAACGGCGCAGGCGTCGAGACATTTTACGAGTGCAGCTGGTCCGAATATTTGAACTGCTGGCAGATGCTGGTGTCATTAGTCACAGGTTGGTATTGAACTTTGACTTTTCAAACCTTTGAGTGATCACAGAATATAATCTCTTTTCTCTCATGAAATACATAAAAACAGAAAAGTGCCTAAATAATGGAAAAAAAGAAGATGCATCACTGTAAATATAGCTTCCCAACCAAAGAGACATCTACAACATTTACCAGTGGCCAAAAAAATATATTGAACAATCTACCACCAGAGAGTGCTTTGGGGGAAAATTGGTTATAATTTTGGTATGAACTCCTCTCCCTCTCAGTACTGGGGATCCACCCAAAGGCACTGTGCCTCTGAGCTACCTGCCTAGCCATTTTAGTTTTGCAGTAAGGGCTCTCCAGGTTGCTGGCCTCAACTTGTGCTCCTCTACCTCAGCCTTCCAAGTAGCTGAGATTGCGTGTGCTGCCATACTGGCCTTTTCTGATTTTGGTTTTTGTTGGAACCTAGTTTTCTAGGCAAGGGGATAGTAGTAGTCTTTTCTGAATATATTTACCTATTTTTTTTCCTTATTCTGAAAATTCATTTCCTCTGGGCTTGAAAAAAAATTATATAACCAAAGGCTAAATATAAAATTTGCAAGTTTATTGCAATGAGCTGTTGGTATTCCATTGGGAATATATATATTTTTAATATATATTATGATTTTAGTTACTAGAGTTTTATTTTCATGTAAGTAATAATTTAAAGTTATATTTTCTTTATCATTTATTTTCTTCAATATTTTCAATTTTTTCCCATTGGGAAAAAATTATGAAATCTGCAACAATTCATAACTTTGTTTTTTATCATTCACAAATTAAACCATAAAACCTGGAAGTATTGCTAGAGGAAAGGCTACTTGACCCTAAAACCAACTCCTTGAGGAAAATTCCATAAGCTGCAGGTTGAAAAATATTACCTCAGGTTGTTGCTTGACCATTGATGGAAAGATGGTGACCCTGACCAAATCCCCCCACCCCCCAAAGTAACTGAAAAGATCTTGTGGGGAAAAATGCGCTGAAGGAGTGTACTGCCGCCACGTAAGTGCTCCTACATTCACATTTGTCCTGATTTCTTAGCGTTCCTGACACCTTTCTTACTTAGCCTTAAAAGTTTTGGCAACTGCTTTCCAAATAGAGCTGTAATCAAAGAGAATTTTAAACCATTGATTCTTTTTTCTCCCTCCACAAAAACCAAAACACTAGCATTTGGTTTCTGGGATTCATGTAAAAAAACTAAATGTCCACAGTCATTTCCTTTTTTGGTTCCTTCTAATGTAAAGTTAGTGAGTAAAGAATCTTTAAATGATACTGTTTTGGGGAACTGCAAAGTGTTTACTGAAAATTTAACTACAAAAGCTATCCTCTCATTGAACAGCAATAGATTTTTTTTTTTTTTTTTTAATTTTCAAAACGTGTATATTTTGATTTGGGTCTTTTTAAAATAAGATATCAACAGAAGGGTATCACTGTTATAGGTCTGCCACTTTGATTAAAGAAAATTAATTCTGAATGCCAAGAAGTCAGCTATCTTCACTCTCCCTGTAGATCATGTGCCTCATGTATATAGTAGCTAACTTGTGAGTATTTGTTAGAAGAATGAATGTTTTATTTTGTTGCAGATTGCAGATAGCTAAATGGATTTTCCATCCACTAATAGGTCATGACCCTAAAGTTTTAAAATGCTTATTTAAGGAAGATCATGAATTCACTTGATACTTGTTTATTGTTGTAGGTGATACATTTAATACACAGTAGTACCACAGTAACACCTTACTCATGTTTTTATAGGTTCAAGATGTTTGCACAAACCTACCCACAACCAGAAAAAAAAAGTATATTTTGCTTTTCAAAACTTGCTATATAACAAAGAAAAGCTGACCTTAATAAATGTAAATGTAATAGCTTTTCATTTATATGGCACTTACTGTTTATAGGGCCATTTCATATGTAACTCCTTTATATGGTTACTAAAAATACACTGAAGTCGGCACTGAACATGTGCCTGATGGTTGCTGGAATAAGGTAGGAACCCAAATTGTCACCTGACCAATCAGTGGTTCCCAGCACAGCTCTCTTGCCTCAAAGAGAATCTCCTTGCAGAAATTCACACCATGTACGATGGTGTGCAAACCAGCACTGTAACCCGTTCTGTTGAAGCCTCTTTGTGTGTTTGTATCCTTGTTGTTGCCTGTCCCAGAAGGTAGCTGGCATTGTGCTGAAGTGTGGTGTGAGGCGGGCTGGCCACTGTGAAGACCAGCAGAACTGCTCTGTCCTCCCTCTGCCTTCCTACACTGGCAGCCCCCCTCCCATAAGCTTGCACGTCTCCTTATTTTTAAACTGCTTATTTTAACAGAGAGGAAATAACATTTAGCACTCATAATATGATTAATGTTATATATAAAATTAAATAATATAAATTGAAATAGCAGCTCCTTGATTAAGAAGCACCTTCTGTTTCTATATTTAAGTAAGGTAAACATATCCATGTAATTTTCTTATATTAAGTTGCATATTGCTATAACTACGCAAAGTTTAATATATATTATGATTTTAGTTACTAGGGTTTTATTTTCATGTAAGTAATAATTTAAAGTTATATTTTCTTTATCATTTATTTTCTTTAATATTTTCAGTGCTAGTGGTGGCCTTGATAATGAAACACATTTCCTCAACAACACTTTACTGGAGTATGTAGACCTCACCCGACAACTCCTGGAAGCAGAAAATGAGAAAGACTCTGATACACTGAAGGATATCCGATGCCATTTTAGTGCCTTAGTGGCGAATATCATCCAGAATGTTCCAGGTATTCCTTTCATATGGCATATCTTTCTTGAGATCTTATAATTAGTATTGAAAAGGAATTTGTGAACATACTGGGAAAATATGTAAGCATAAGAGATTGCTTTACCTTAGAATTAGTGATATTTTTAGCAGTGGTCAAGATACTGACACAAACATCTAAAGTAATCAAGTAGATTGAACGGGACAGATTAGTTCCATTGGGAGGTGAGTGTGGGCCATTGCTGTGCAGTATAACGGGGATGCAGACTCACAAATGGATCCGCGTAACAGTGTGTTCCTAGTAGTGAGCAGGCCGGTGCTACAAAAGTGATTCAGCTGCATTTCACCCAGTCAGATTCTGTCAAAGCCATACAATTCTGATAATAAGTCTGTTGTATACAGCTTAAGAACAATTTTTTTCCCTCTGAAAAAGTAGTCAAGGTTGTTATGGTACTTTAAATAGTATATTCTTTTTAAGGAGCTTTGGCTATATTTTATAACAGGGTCATTTAGACACATAATTAGGCATGCTAATATGCATTGCAGGAGACTTATTTTAATCTTTGGAAGGGAAGTGATGCTATTTAGAAGAGAAGAATGCTTTTTCCTCTATATTTTCTGTTCAGAAGCTCATTAATATAAAGATGTGATTTGTCTTTTTTCAGTACACTTTTCCACAACTTCTGCTTTCATCCTTGCTGCAGAGAACTTGCAGAGTAGGGCTTCAAGTGGTAGCAATAATCCAAGAGCTTGGTTTTCTAAGCCCAGGGCTCTCTGGTGCCATTCGCAGTTGGCACAATAGATTCGGACACTGGGCCTCTACCGTACTTCAAACGTATCAGCTCTTCTTTTATCTGTTTTCTTTCATATAGCTGGCTTTCCTATGAAAACATTGCATTTAAAAATGATACTTATTCAGCCCCAAGCCCTTAAGGGCCTGCGTTCCTGAGGGGTGCTTGCCATGCTTCGCACACACCAAGGGGCAGCCTGGGGAGAAGTGGGGCCCCGGCTCGGCCTCTGCGCTCTCGCCTGCCTTGACACTGCTTCTGCCACTTGCGTATGTGGTAATGACCTTGTTACCATGGAGGATTTATGTGGGTTCAAATAAAAACTTTGACTCCCCCTTTTAAAAAAACGTTTTATGTATTCAATAACATAAGTTAGTATTCATTTTAAAGTAAAAAAAAAAAGGAAATACATTCTCCCACCTATATTTTTATTTACAGTGCACCAGAGAAGAAGTATTTTCCCCCAGCAGAGCCTTCGTCACAGCCTGTTCATGCTTTTCAGTCACTGGGCAGGTCCTTTTAGCATCATGTTCACGCCTCTGGACAGATACAGTGATAGGAACATGCAGATTAACAGACATCAGTACTGTGCATTAAAGGTATTTACTTGGAATCCTACTTCCTATTTTCTTATTGATAGGTGTTTTTCAGGTGAATGGCACAGCAGAGAAGCAGGCAGAAGGAAAAAGAGAAAGGGGCTTTATTTTCTTTGAGGACACGGAGAGAATTTGGGGAAGTCAAGGAATTCTCTGGGCTGGACAAAGGGAGCCTGAGGCTTCTGTGGCCTTTTGTCAAGGGCAGGGTTTGGAGGGGATGTTTAGATGTACTTGAGGAGCTGACTGGGGGGGCTTCCCTGAGGTGGCGGGAAGGGTGGAAGTAAATTTTGTCCTGGGCTAAGTTGGGGATGAAGGGGGAGGTGGTCCTGGGAGCATGGGCCTTTGTTCTAGGGCATCGGCCATATTAGATGACCACCACAAGGATTTTAGCAGTTCACACTAAGGCCCGAACCTGTCACTTATGTCAAGAGCAGAGTTTATTTTCATGGCTCTTCATGTCTGATACTATAAAAAACATGAGGCCTTCTTCAGAGTACCTGTGGATATTAAAATGTTTGTCTGCCATAATGAAAGACACCATAACTTTTAACTACCTAAAGTATACTGCAAAAGAGTTCAAAAATCTATCAAAATTTTCTCATCTTTTCCTTAAAAGAACTGAGCTTTGACTCCAAGGAACGCCTATTGCTCCGTATTTAGGTATTTTCTCTTGGTGTCTTTATCTGCTCTTTCCAACTGTTCTTTTAAGAGTAAGAAGAATTTATTGAGAGAAATAAAGGGGACAGAAAGGGACTCAGAAAGCAGGCTGCCCACTAATCCCACTTCTCAAGGGTATCTTTCTGACTGTTTTAACTCCATGTCTAATTTGGTGTGATGGTATTTACTTATAATAGATTTTGTCTTAAAAGTTGCTGTTACTATTTTTCTTTGGAAAGAAAAAAGTAAGATATTGTGCCTAGGCAAACACGAGTAAGAATATTTTGCCTCTTCTCATAAAGCAAGCAGCCAGCATTTAAACTCTTAAATTTTTTAAGTGTAATTCTGATATTATTGTTTGAAGGCTATGTCTGCTGTACTGTGTTGTGGCCCTGTTGCAGATAATGTGGGACTGTCATCAGATGGCTATTTGTACAAATGGTTGGATAACATTTTGGACTCTCTGGACAAAAAGGTAATTATGATAATTCCCTTTAAATTTCATAATAAATTGTCGTTACATTATTCAGAGTCACTGTATGGCCTATTGAAAAGAGACCTTTTTTAAATATTTTTTTTTTTTTTTTTGGTAAGGTAGGGTAGAATTAATGCCAGAAGGCAAGTACAAAAACTTAAATAGCATAATGTAATCTAAAACAGGTCTAATTTTTATTTATTACTCATTTAAATTAATTTTTATTTTCCATTAGAGGACTGATAAGTGTATAGTAGGGTTCTGAGTCCATAAATAAAGTATTAATGTAGAATATGAACTTCATGGAAGAAATATCTTATTTATTAATTAATTTCATTTTTTCATCACTCTCCAGTTAATTTTCTCTTACCTTTCACACTACTGTCAGCCTTACTTTCTGCTGTGTACACATAGACTTCACAATTTTAGTAGAATTTACATTTTTCCCTATACCGTAATTTTTCTACTGGTTATCACAAATAAGGGTAAAACTTGCTGGAAATTATTGGAGAGGTTGACAACGCATTTTTTGAAAGTATCTGCTTCATTTTCATCAACTACCTTCAGGGGTCTTGTTAGAGAAAGTCCTACTGAAGATCCTTGTATAAAAAGTACAAAGGCGGTGTATAGTTTATCTGTGTTTTCTCTGCTGGCTGAATAATCAGAAGGAGTTGAACAAAAAGAGATTCCACTGCATTATAATAATAAATATTACCTTAGTAAGCATGCAGAGCCCAGGACAGTGAAGTAACTCCCAGCTTCCCTCCCTGGGCCACGCTGTGGCCTCCCTAGGTTCATCAGTTGGGCTGTGAAGCAGTGACGCTGTTGCTGGAGCTGAACCCGGACCAGAGCAACCTGCTGTACTGGGCTGTGGACCGCTGCTACACGGGCTCCCTCAGGGTGGCCGCCGGCTGCTTCAAAGCCATAGCCAGTGTGTTCCAAAACAGGTACTCGAGACAGCCGTGTGCACACACGCTTCACTTAGGTTTCTTTTCTTAAAGACATCTTTTTCCATTTGAATTTAGAAATACTGAGAAACCCTTCTTTCCTTAAGCTCTAGTGGAATTTACTCAATAAGGATGATAAGCACAAATCTGTTGTACCTGTTGCCTTAAAAAAGTCACCCTGTGCTTAGGTGATGCATGTAGCCTTGCTCTTTGTACAGCCTATTTATTCACTAATGTGAATGTCTCCAAACATTTTTGTTTACCTAACATGTGAAATATATCCCTAGGGATTACCAGTGCGACACGGTGATGCTCCTAAACCTGATACTGTTCAAAGCAGCTGATTCTTCTAGAAGTGTCTATGAAGTGGCTATGCAACTTTTACAGGTTTGTAAACAGATGTTAATTAATATAGTTTCTTACTGAGGATCTACTTAGGCCTAATATTTTATTCTTATCACTAAATTATATTAATATCTAGCTTTATTTTTAATGGTGAAGTATGGTACCATGTTGTGATTATCATTAGAAACAGAAAACAAACTTACTACGGGTATTTAAGTCTGCAGTGTGAGCTGTAGGTTTACATGAAGGTACTTGCAGGTGTTGACTGGTGTGTGCAAGTAGCTGTTTCTGTTCAGCAGATGAGAATAATGTGAATTGAGTGTTTTCAGAGCTGTGTGAAAAGTAATTCACTTATTTATGGTACCGCTCTGTTCACTTTATAAGATTGAGTATATAGTGAACATCAGCAAAGTAGTGACATTATATTTATTTCAGTATTTATATATATTTTAAGACTTTATAAACCCTTCCCATACTCCTATAAACCTTTCCCACACACTTAAAACACTTCTGATGTTCTTAATCATTTTCTAAACTCATAAACCTATGTGATTTTAACAATATACATATACTGTATGGTACTGCAAAATCCTGGGATATAGTGAAAAATCCGCAATAAATAATTTAGATTAATATTTTTTAGAACCCATGCCACAGTGAGTCCGCAAAAGTCGAACTGAAATAGCAAAGGATTACTATATGTCATTATTACAGTATACAGTATTCAAGTAATTCAGAAAAAAATAGTTCTTTTTTTTAAATGTATTTAGTAAGGGTCTCACTACGTAGATTGGACTCGTAGTGATTCACCTGTTTTCACCTCCCAAGCGCTGGGGTTACAGGCGTGTGCCACCATACCCGGTCTAGTTCTTACTCTTAATTAAGGATTAAGAGTAAGATTTCAATGGGTCCTGACATTTCTAACGGCTTTGAGCTAGTATGGTAGGGCCATCATAGGAATGATAACCTGGTGCCTTTATTAAAGTTAGCAGAATAGTTTTCTATTTAGTGTGATATCAGAAGGAACTTTAGTTAGTATTCCATTTCTAGTCTGTGCTAAGATCCATTTAAAGGTTTTTTTTTTCCCTTGCCCACACGTTTGTGTAGTCATATTCTGAGCTGAAAAGTAGGTCTTTTTCAGGTAATTATACCTTAAGTTACTGAAATTATCTTCAGACTATTCTACTAAATTGTACCATTGGCATTAAATACATGGAATGAAAATCTTTTCTAAAATGTTTAAGTCTTTTGTAAACTTTTAAAAAACATTTTAAGCTGAAATATTTCTTTTTTTTTATTTTTTTATTTATTACATTTATTTATTGTGTGTGTGTGTATGTGTGTGGCCAGCTCAACCCACCAGGGGGCGGGGCTGGCTGGCATGTGGTGCTGGGGGATCGAACCGAGGTCCCTGTGCTTTGCCAAGCTTGTTTCAAGTAGGTGCTTTAGACTACTGAGCCACCTCGCCAGCCCCAAGCTGAAATATTTCTTAGGAAAAGATTCTTTTCAAGGTGGGAATATAGCTCAGCAGCCCAAGCGTCTGCTTGGCAAGCACAAGGTCCCGAGTTTGATCTCCTTTCCAAAAAAAAGGGGCAGGATGCTTTTTAAGTCAGCTGAACTTTAGGGGCCCTTAAAATGTTAACGTAAGTTGATGCATTTTATTCCTTTAGATTCTGGAACCGAAGATGTTTCGCTATGCTCACAAACTGGAGGTTCAGAGAACAGACGGGGTTCTTAGCCAGCTGTCTCCTCTGCCACATCTGTATTCGGCTTCATATTATCAGTTGTCTGAAGAATTAGCAAGGGCATATCCTGAGCTCACTCTTGCCATCTTCTCAGGTTTGGAATAATTTCTTTTAAAAAGCCATTTTTAGATTTTGTTTGCTAAAAAGTTTAGGACCTTGCTATATAACCTAGGCTTGCCTTCAGCTGACAGTCCTCCTGCCCCAGCCTCCAAAGTGTCAGCATTACAGGCAAGGACCACCACACTGGGCTTAGAAAAATTTAAAGGAGATTATGTTAGAGGTTGTATCAAACCAAAACATGTCTTTAATTAAAAGAATGTTTTCCTTCTTTAATAAGATCGCTTCATGCTGTACTACCTGATGCTCACATTGCTTACTGCTGTAGTCTTCTAGGGCTTTACAGCTCCAACCTCCAACCCCCCAAATAAATAAATAAATAAAGTATTTCTTTAGGAGACATAGACCTTCCTGAGTGTGTTTTCTTTTTTTATATATATGTTGTTCTACTATTTACTTATTTATTTCTTTATTTAGCACAGGGTCTTGCTATACAGCTCAGACTCATAATGATCCTCCTGTCTCAGCCTTCCCAGCACTGGGATTACAGGCATGCTCCACCATGCCTGGCTTCGGTGGCCAGCATGGTGTGGGTTCTGCATAGCATGCAGTACCAGGGATTAAACCCAGGTCCTTGTGCTTGACAGGCAGGCTCGTAGGGCACCAAGTTATCTCCCCAATCCCTGTGTTTTATTTTCTGCATAGAGCTGCCATTAACAAGAGGAATAGGAAGGGATGAAGATGCATTGCATACGTAGAACTTGAGCCTTCTAATTATTGAGGCAGGTCTTGCAGTTTTTGTTTTCTTTAAAACAAAGATTTTTTTTTTTAACTTTTAAAGAAACAGAGAAAATTCTAAAACAATTTGATAATGAGGTTAACAGTGGTCAACATATTGAGTATTATTATCTTTAAATTAGGTGTTTAGAGTATAAGTGATGTATAATCAGCAGCATAATTATATATTTTTTTAAGCAGTATAATTATCGTAACTACCTTTTATATATACATACATAATTTTTTCTTTTGCTTTTGCCCTCCTTTTTTTCCCATTCCCTTAAACCAGTTTCTCTTTCCATTTCAAGTTTTTTTCCTACTTTACAGTATCTATTGTACATTAATTTTTTCAGTAGCAGGGACCGAATTCAACCTTACGCTTGCCAGGCAGACTTATGCTGCTGAGCTATATCCCAAGCCTCTATTATACATTTTTGGATTACGTTTACTCTTTCAGTTTCTTACACTAGGGAGACAACATGATGTATATGCATTTGCATCTGGTTTATTTCACTTAAGAGTATGGTCACAAATTTCATCCATTTACCTGTAAGTCTCTAGTTTATCCTTGTTTGTGGCTGAATAATTCTTCATTTTATAAGAAAACCACATCTTTTTTATTTTCCTTAGTTGGTGAGCATTTGGTTTGTTTCCAAGAACTAGCTGTTACATATTGTGCTGCTGTAAGCATGGGTGCACATGTCACTGTGGTATAGTGTTTTTGATTCTTCTGGGAAGATACCTAGAAGGTCAATAGCCGGGTCGAATAGGAACTCCAATCCTAGTTTTTTTGAGGAATCTTCACGCAGATTTCCACAGTGGCTGTACCAGTCTACACTCTCATCAGTAGTGGAGAAGGGTTCCTTTTCTCCATGGCCCCTCCTGAATTCATTAGTTTAGTTCTTTTTTTTTTTTAAACTATTTTTTTTTAAATTTTTCTTATTTATTATTTGTGTGTGTGTGTATGTGTGTGTGTGTGTGGCCAGCACAGCCCACCAGGGGGTGGGGCTGGCTGGCATGTGGTGCTGGGGCATTGAACCGCAGTCCCTGTGCTTGCTAAGCTTGTTCTAAGTAGGTGCTTTAGACCACTGAGCCATCTCACCAGCCCCATTAGTTTAGTTCTTGATGATAGCCATTCTCTCTGGAATGGGATGGAGTCTGTGTTGTTTTAATTTGCATCTCTGAAATGATGAGTGATGTTGAACATGTTTTCAAATATTTATTTGCTGTTTGTATTTCGTCATCTCAAAAGTATGTATTTATCTCTGATGCCCATTTTTGAATTAGGTCTTTAAATTGGGAGGTCTGATTTTTGGGGGGTTTCTTTATACATTCTCAGTAAACCTTTGAGAAACATCCAGCAAACATTTTTCTCACATTGTGTGTTGTCTTTATTCTGTTGGTGGTTTTCATTGCTGTGCAAAACCTTTTTAGTAAGATAAGATCCCAGTTGTTGACTCTTTGTGATAGTTCCTGTGTGATTGGGGTTTTATTCATAAAATCTTTGTCTACACCAATATTTTCAAGAGTTTTTCCTATTCTATTTTCCAGCAGATTTAATGTTTCTGTTGTTAAAGAGGGTATCTTCCTTGCATTGTACTTATTTGGCTCCTTTATCACATATAAGGTGGCTGAAGATGTCTATAGTTATGTCTGCATTTTCTAGTCTCAGAAGTGACACCTTGCACCTTCTCCATGTGGCACAGAGCCTCTTGACTCCTGCTTGTCAAGTCACCTGGCGTACATGACTCCCAGCTTTTCTATCTTGTCTCATCTTTGGTCCTCTCTCTGAGGCCAATAAAGATACCTTTGAGTTCCAAGTAGCACCTCCCAAGTCCATCCCTACATCCTATCATACATGTCTTCAACATGCTGTGTTCTTGTTCTTAAGTTCCTTTCAGATAACATAGCATTCAACCAAAGCTGTCCTCTGAAATTTGTCTCTTCTCACGAACATCTTCCAGCAAGTTAAGCCTTTCTAGTTCTTCCTGCTGACTTCCCTTGTGCATGGATCCTATCTCAAAGGCCAGTAGATCAGATCTCTAGCACCTCCCTAATGTCATCCTCTTGAAACATGTGAATTGTGATGCTTGCTAAATATGTTAATGGCCTTTTTCCTTTCTACTGTTTCTTCCATCTTAATGGAAAATACTTCTTCATTGTACAGTAGAAGTTTGTGGTGGTTTCAGGCCATAATCAACTGGCTCTGAGGCAGGATGGCTTGGCACAGGGGCTACTTAAAGGTGGCAGAATGCAGGAGAAAAAGCAAGAGCAAAAAAAGGGTGGGGGACTCAAACAGTGGGTTTTGTCCTTTTGAGACAGGATCTTGTTATGCAGCTCAGGCTGGCCTTGAGCCTACTTTGTAACCCAGGCTGGTCTTGAACTCACAGTGATCCTCCTGCCTCAGCCCTCTATGTACTGGGATTACAGGTGTGGGCCACTTGTCTGGCTTGGTGCAGTGTTTTGAGTAAAATTATTTTTAGGATCCCACTTTGCTATCTGATCCTGCTAACTTCCATTGAAGCTAATGAGTATAGTATTCCCATTAGAGCTTTTTAGGCACTAGAACATCAAGACCTTGTGTCAGGAAAATAAGTCACATTTATCTGTTCAGGACTCAGACTTAGAATTTTCAGACTTAGAGCCACAGTAACAAATTGAGGTTCAGAGGTTGATGGGTCAGCCTCGGGTCAGGCTCTGTGTGTGTGTGTGTGTGTGTGTGTGTGTGTGTGTAGCTAGGAGATTTAAACGTATGGCTGTGCTCTGCCAGGGCCAAGTTCCAACTCACTCCTCTGCCATATACTCGTTTCTAATGAGTAAATACATCTAAGGCTAAGAAGGGAAAAGTGGGTAGATGAGAAAGGAGATTTTATTTACAGTGATTTGTGGCAGTTAGTGTGGAAAGACTTATAGCCACAGGCATTATTAAGCTTGTGTTTGAATCCTCTGCCACTGGGTGGTAACTCTGCTTTCATCATAGCTTTGTCATAAATGTTAAAGGACAAGAGTGTAGAAGTGACACATCATAGGAGTTTGCCCTGAACAGAATCTAAATAAGAGATTCGTAGGAAGTCCATTTGAATTAATCCTCGTATAAATCTTGTAATTATTTTATTTTGTTGACATCTTAGTCATTTTTAAGTGTACAGTCCAGCAGTATTAAATATACAGTGTTGCGTGGCAGATCTCTAGAAAGTTTTTATCTTGCATAAATGTGTGTGTGTGTGTGTGTGTGTGTGTAGCCACTAAACAATGATCTCCCTTTTTCTTACGTCAGTTCCTAATAATCAATATTATACTTTGTATTTTTTCTCAACTTCATTATTTTAGATACTGTACATTATATAACTGAAATCATACAGTGTTTTCATTTTGTGACAAGCCTGTTTCTCTTAGCATAATATCTTTAGGGCTCATGCACATGTAATATGTGGCAGGATTTTCTTCTTTTTAGGCTGCATAGTATTTCCTAGTGTGCACGTCCCTTCACTCATCTGTCCATTGGAATTTGAGTTGCTTCCACCCTTGTCCCTTCTGAATAGTGCTTCTGTGGACATGGATGTAACAATAGCTGTTTGCATTTCTTTTTCTTTTTGGTGCCAGGAATCAAACTCAGGACCTTTGCTTGCAAGGCAGGCACCGTGCCACTGAGCTATATCCCTGGCCCCCTGTTTGCATTTCTGCTTTTAGTTCTTTCCACATATATACTCAGAAGTGCAGTTGCTGGTGGCTTGGGGTCTTTTAATTTGGGGAAACTGCCATGTTGCTGTCTATACAGCATGTACCATTTTGTAATCCACCGACAGTGTACAAACATTTGACTGCCAAAATTATTTTATTTTATTTATTTATTTATTTATTTATTTATTTATTTATTTATTTATTTATTTATTTTTTGGCAGAACCAAGGATTGAACTCAGGCCCTTGTGCTTGCCAGTCAAGTGCTTATTCTACTGAGCTATCTCCCTGGCCCTTCCAAAAGTATTTCAAACAAAAAGTTAGTAATGTAATTTGCATTAGCTGTTCATTATTCGGTTATTGAGGTAAAATTTATTTATTTTTTGAGGTAAAATTTACTAATAGGAAAAGTAGCAATCATAATAATTAAATAGATTTAATCTTCCTATTTTTTGTCTCCCTGCTGCCCTGTTTCTTCAGTACTGAGGTCTGAACCCAGAGCCTTTCCTCTTATCCTCATCTCCAGACCTTTTTCATGTTTTAATTTGGGCAAGTTGGTCTTGCTGAGTCATCCAGGCTGGGCCCAAACTTCTCCCCCAACCCCAGATTGCTGAGATAACAGGCCTGTGCCACCATGCCTGACCTGGCTGCTGCTTCCACCAGAAGGAGGTGAAGGTATAGGTCAGAGGAAACCAAAATTACATCTCTTCTTTCCTTTGGTTTGCTTTTAATTAGAGATAAGCCAGAGAATCCAGACAGCTCACCCAGCGGGGCGGCAGGTCATGCTGCACTATCTGCTGCCCTGGATGAACAACATTGAGCTGGTGGACTTCAAGCCTCTGCCCACAGCCAGGCGCCATGAGGAGGATGAAGAGGACTCCTTGAAAGATCGCGAGCTTATGGTGACCAGCAGGCGCTGGCTGCGGGGAGAAGGCTGGGGATCCCCGCAAGCCACTGCGATGGTTTTGAACAATCTGATGTACATGACAGCAAAGGTAGAGTGCTAGCATTTTGTATTTACACTTGCTACACAGAATATATTAGAGTTAGGAGAAGGAAGCATGGTTAGAAACAGGCAGAGCTTAGAGCATCCTATGAGAACCAAGCAAAAATGGATGCTAAATTCCCCTCCCTAAAATCGTGTCAGATGTCTTTTTTTTCTTAACCAAAACCATACTGTATGTGATGAGTGATATTGCTATTCAGGTTCATTGAATAATCATTTGTCTAGAGGATGGAAGAGAGGACAGGTGTCTGTAAAACTGTGCTTTTCTTGTACTTTGTGGTGTGGCAAGTTGGGTTTCTGCCATGCAGTCGTACTGAAGTCTCTGCTGTGTGTGCTCCTGTAGTACGGTGATGAACTGGCCTGGTCAGAAATGGAGAACGTGTGGACCACACTTGCAGATGGCTGGCCGAAGAACCTGAAAATCATTTTGCACTTTCTGATCAGCATTTGTGGCGTGAATAGTGAACCAAGCCTTTTGCCTTACGTATGTATTTGAGTTCACTTACCTTTTGGGAAAAAAAAAAAAAAGATATTTACCAGTTGTCTTATTATGTCAGAGCACAGGCAGTAACAGCGCGCACGCGCACGCACGTGCGTGAGGGCAGATTGAGCGCAGTCAAGAAATAGCATCTGGACTGACTCCTTCGACCAGTGTGATCTAGTATTATCTCAAACAATGTACTGGTCTAGGTACTGTACTACGCATGCCTATCTGATGAGTGGATACAGGTTTTTTTTTTTTGAACATATATCTAGTTTATTTAGTGAACAAATCAGCATGTTAATAGAGTGTAGTTGTGATAAAGGCTACAAAGGGAAATTGCCTGGTACTGACAGTGAATAGCCAAGGAACACAGCTGTCTGGAAGGATAAGAGATGACAGTTGAGAGAAAGTGGCATTACAGTGGGAACTGGGGACACATGCATATATATTGTAGCTTCTGCTAGATGGCAGCTGGCACTGGGGTACTAGAGCAGTCAGGGAGTGCGAGCTCCATCCTTGGGGCTGCTAGAAGTAAGAGAAAGCACAGAAAGTGGTAAAAAAAGAAGACCAGAGACAAACGAGGGTCTGATATCTTTGCCTTTGGAGAGATGGGGGAACAATAGTTAAATCTGTCCAATTTAAGAAGCCACCATATGCCAGTCATGGTGGCACATGCCTGTAATCTCAATACTCTGGGAGACTTAGGCAGAAGGGTTATGAATATGAGCCCAGCCTGTGCAACTTAGTGACTTAGCAAGATTCTGTCTTAAAATAAAAAACAGTAAGAAGGGCCTGAGATGTAGCTCAGAGCAAAGGCCTGGGTTCAATCTCTGGTATCAGGTGGGGGCACTGTAAAACTGTCAGATATGAGGATGGCATTGAAGATACAGTCAGGCCTGCCCAAGCGTGCATTTACATGTAGATGTCACTCTCCTGGTTGTATCTCCGAAGAGTGTCCTCCACAGAACATTTCTCCAAAGTGCTGCTGTAAGGCTCCTACAGACCACGGCTTCAGCCACCATTCCTCGAGTTTGCTCAAAAGATTCATTCTCAAAATGTATCCTAGGATTGGTGTTGTTTGAGAAAGACTGAGAGAAGTGACGGGGTACAGCCCCCAGCCACATGGCCCTGTGGCACCCAAACCATCCTGCCTGCTGTTCTCCCAGGCCTCCGCCCTTCACCTATAGACTCCCATGCGGCCTGCTCTGTCAGGCATTCGCACCTCAGTACCTTTGCATTTGCTTTGCTTCCGTTTCCTGACGGCCACGCTGCCCTGTCCCTGGGCTCCTCCAGCTCTCTCTGGGGTGTCCATTCTCCCTGAGACCTTCGCTGCCCATCCTGGCTGCAGCTGCCCCTGCCCCTGCCTCGTCCCCACAGGCACACTGCTTTCCCCTTCCCCTTTTTGCTGATCCACCTGGCCCTCGGCACTGCACCTGTTGCACAGTTATCTGGCTGGTCCTAATTTCCTTCCTCCAAGTGGACTGTAAGCTGCTTCCAAAGAGGAACCTTTAGGTTGTATTACTATGTGCTCAGTGCTGAAAGTAGTGCCTGGCACACCAAGGGAGTACAATGATTGGGTGGATGAATAGGGTAGGGCTGGCTGGAGAAAAGCATGAAGAGTAAGCAGTCTTTTATTCATGCTCACTGAGGGAAGTTTAGAGAATAGCTGTTGACAAATTTTAACTCATTTAGTCCTCCTGACAGCTGTATGCTCTTGCTGTCCCCATTTTGCAGACAGGAAATCGTAGGAGTGGCTTTGCAGATAGTGTTAGGTAGCTCCTCGCTGCCACTGGGCTCCGCAGAGAGTGAGGACGGCAGAATAAAGCCTGAGCGCTGCTAACTGGAAGTCAGACAAGTGCTGTGTGGTGAGGTTTGCCAGAGCTTTCTCCATTAAAAAAGAAACTTCGAAGCCAGTTTTTTGCACTTTATTTAAAAAATGAGTAAAGGAAGTATATAAAACTGTGAACTCTCAGTATATTCAGTTCATCCCAATTAGAGTGAATGCTGAGTTGGAGGGAAAACAGCACTTGACAGTAAAGCTAATTGATGTCTCATCGCTGGTCAGTGCCTATCCATGTTTAGATTGTGCGGATTTGTCTTTCACTTGAAGTTAATCTTACTCTGATCAAATGTGTCTCAAGATAGACTTCTGAGGTAAAAATGTTGCTTTTCTATGAATGCTTTTTTCTGTGACAGGTCAAGAAAGTTATTGTTTATTTGGGGAGAGACAAAACGATGCAGTTGCTCGAGGAGCTCGTGAGCGAGCTGCAGCAGACAGACCCTGTCTGCTCAGGCGTCACCCACATGGATAATCCCCCCTACTACCGCATCACTTCCAGCTACAAAATCCCCTCTGTCACCTCAGGTGAGGCGCTTTGCCTAGCTGTGCAGTTTAGCAAGGGTTTGTGGCCTTTAGTAGTGGGACTGAGAGAACAAAAACAAACTTGAGTTATGTCTGATAATTTGACTAGATTTGGGGAAATTATGTGAATAAAGAAACATGATAAATCAAAGGATTCTTAGTATTACATAGAACATTTATGTATTTATCCAGAACTAGAATATAAATGTATATATTCCCATACAATGAATGCATTTTTAAGTGAATATAATTAGATTAGATAAATAAATGTCTTTAAGAAATTAGATTTAGGAAATGATTACTTGTTGAAATTATTTATGTAGTTGCACATTATACTTATTTATATAAGTGGTGTACATTGAGTCTAACCACATTAAACGTAACCAAATGAGTGTGTACACTATGCTTCTATTGCAAATTAACATATATATTTATAGAGTACAAATGTTATGATTTACTAATACAATATGGAATAATTAAGTCAAGGTAATTAACATATCTACTACCTCAAATACTTATCAGATTATAGTATTTTGAGTTGAAATTATGTCCCTCAGGGAAAAAAGTAATGAAAATCAATATAATGTCTAGGCTAATGTAGTTCATACTTCTATGAAACTGAAACTTTTTGTAAAATGTTTTCAACATGTCAAAAGCATTGTACACTTAGGAATAATTTAAATTATTGAAATATGTTTTGTGTCAACTTTTTATCACTTAGACATTGTGCTACTTCCCGAGTGATTTTTAACTTTTTTTTTTTTTTTTTTTCCGGAACCAGGGTTTGAACTCAGACCCTTGTGCTTCCCAGGGAAGCACTTATTCTACTGAGCCATTTCCCCAGCCTCATTTTTTTTTAACATCCCTGTTTTAAGTATTGTATCTGCTACTGTGTTTTTAATTCTTCTTCTTTTTTTTTTTCCTTAATAATTTGGGTACAGGGTCTTACTACACAGCTCAGACTTGTAGTGATCCTCCTGTCCCAACCTACCCAGCCCTGGGATTACAGGTGTGCCCTATCACGCCCAGTCAGTCTCCTGCTCAGCATGCCCTGGGGTCTGCACAGCACGCAGGGGATCGAACCTGGGTCCTTCTGTCTGCCTAAGCAGACTCTTTAAGCCACTGAGCTATCTGGCTGGCCCTAAAGTTATTTTAATTATTTTTTTTATGTTTTTCATGGTTGGATTTTTTCTACATCTGATAAAGTTACTGTTCTCTTCTTCCAGCAAAAGCTCTTATTCTCTAAATTGCTGTTTATTCAGTCTCTGTAGGAGCTTTGCTTAAAAGTCTACCAAAAGCCATCTTTTCATAAGAGCATTACACATGGATAAGTGCTATATGTGTCTGCGGAACTTACACTGTGTCCTTTGTCAAAGGATGATTTCAGTGATACTAATACATGTGGGCCTTTTCTCTTGGATTAAGCAGATTTCCCAGAGTAAACATTCCTGCCTACAGTGGAGGGTGTGTCTGGGTTTTCCATGCACACACAGTATTCCAGTCCTTGAAAGTCAAATGGCGTAGGAACGATGCAGTCTCAACTTTAGTACATACATTTTCTTTTTTTACCTGAATATAACTTATTTTTATTTTTTTCCCATAATTTTATTGAGAAA